GAAATATTTAACTGAATACCTGTGAAACAATTGGTCTTATGCTTTTCTCAAGGGAATTTGATATTAACCATAGCGAATATTTCTATACAGGTGCATTATTATCACGTTGGCACCATATTAACATCAATAAAATACTTAAATTTAATTAATTTTTTTACTTCTTATATCAATGTTGAAATACATTTTTAAAGAAGATCTCTCCAATTTAAACTTAAGCGAATATCTGTAAGCCAACTATTGTTAAAGACCCGTTTGTTGGCCAACTCATTCTGTTGAGACATCAGCTTGCCAAGGCCAACATTAAAGTTAAGCCAATGCCAAAAACCAAAAGCGAGACCCGAAAAGCATTCATAAGCATTTGTGGCTGGCTTTGGCCAATAAACACATTACAGTTGCCAGTTGCCAGAGCCAATCATAAATTCATAATGAAATATGAGGAGCGCGGCGAGTGGCCAAAGATACATGGCCAAGGCAAAAGCCAGCCAACTACCAATACGAGTACAACAATGTATAGTAATAAATACGCACTACAGGCAGTGGGGGCAAGTGGGGGGCATATAGTTGCAGTTCGGGTATTTGAGCAAGCGTGGAAAAGTGTAGCCATAAAGCAGGCGCTTGCGACCGGCTGTGGCATTACTTTTATGATTATTTGTGTCATTTATTGTTGCTGCTGTTGTTGTTGTTGTTGTTATTGCTGCTGCTGACTTTCAACCAAAGTGACTTTAACACTGCGCACATATGGAGAAGCTATATAGTCTAGTCTTGTCTATGCCCGGACCATGGTCAGCAGGCAGCAGCGGGCAGCAGTGGACATCTTTAATTAGATTTGCACATTAGACGACGACAAGAAGAAGCGCTGGCAGCAGCGTGAGTTGGAGGGAGCAGGCTAATGACACTCGCATCGGTTATGCGCTGCACGCAACGCGAGGAGCAACGTCTTCGAATGGACTGTTTATGGTCATCTTTTGGAGTTACTAAACAAGGCAATGTGTGCTGCTGGGAGCTCCATCAATAAGGCTTAATTTAATTTGAGCCTTGGTATCTTTAAGCTCGTAACAGGCAGCCTCTTTGCTGGCTCTTCTTCCCCTGCTGCCTGTGTGGCACTGTGCCTGGCCAGACGCGTCCACACGTGCGCTGCACATGATTATTATTATTAGTTATGATGATGTATCCTTTTTATATACGTGTGTATTTGTGGGTGGGTTTTGTGGCTGGGTCTGGCAAATATTAATAACTGTTGCCTGCGTTTTTTTTTCTATTTTCGGGCTCGTCGGCGTCTGCGAAACACGCTAAAAATTAATTAAACGGTGAGGAGCTGTGCGGGTGGATATGGCAGATGGGGTGGACTCCCTTTCACGGGGGGGAAAGGGAGGTGTAAATATTATTGCTCGGCCATTTCGTGGTTATTTATGCGCTTGATGTTTGGGCCTGTTTGTCCCGCCTGCCCTTCCCTCATCATGGCAAACGGTCTGCGCTTGATTCATGTCCTTTGTTGTTATTCCTGTTGATGCTATGGGCTGTCGTTGTTATTGTTTTTCTGTTTTTGTTGTTGTTCAAACAGCACGCACTCCATATTGGCAATTTATATTTGTATTAATTAATGGGCCAGTAAACAATTGCTGCAAGCAGCGCTATTAGCACGCATCGGGAGCTCTGCCAAATTATGGCTCCTGGCTTAAATATAGCAAAAAGGATGCAAAGAATTCACTCTTCTATTTATTTTGGTAGAGTTAATTACATTTTTGCTATGCAATAATGCAAAATGCACATTAGTTGATTCAAAAATTTGCATCAGACATCATAAATTTACTGGCAGTTTGAAAATAGTCGCATTTTAATTATATTGAAGAGTGGCCAGAGGTAAGGAGGTTTTAAGATAATATATAGGGCGAGAGCCACTGAATAAATAATTAAACATAATGCGATTTCCAGTTAAAATATAAAATCAGTAAATTGCTAATATTGCGCAATAAATTTACATATTTGTTTGGAGTTCGCGATTATTTTGCTTTGATTAAAATAGTTATTGTTATTGTAGTTATTAATCCTATTGATTGATAGATTGTGGTGCATCACTGAGACTACGGCGTATTTCAAAATAAGTATCATCCGTTTATTCTATTGGTCTATCTAAATCGCTTTCTAATACGTTGCTGTTCTGGATAATATTTGCGTAGCTCACTGCAATTAGGTTGGTGTATTGGATAAATTGACATTATTTATTTTAAGCATACTTAAAGGAGCTCCCAGACGCAGATTTTCAAAGGGCCTTTGAATTATATAGAAAAATATTATCAAACTGCTTGCAAATATGAGGAATTCAAACAAGTAAAAATATTCCATTTGCAGGGCGAACAAAAATCAATCCAAATGAGAATACTCTTTTGAAGGGCGTATCACAGATTCATATATTCCATGAATAATGCTCAGCGTTAAATGTTTCAATTTTACTGTGTAAACTGTACAATTCAATAATATCCTTAAGCACACATTTGATATATAGCTTTAATATAGATATAATGATTATGAGAAAGAAGAAATGCGAAATTGCACTTTTCTTATCCTATGCTTTATTTATTATTAGAACCAACTGCATGAGTTATGGAATGTATTGCAAATAAACTTGAATTAAATTTCATAATAATAGGTGCAAAGCGTATTGAAACGCAACCAAAATGCCAGCATTCAATGTCCTGCAACCAGCAGCAACAATAAAGGTCACCATTTCCAGTTCGAGCTCAAATAAGCATTGGGCCCCTTGGTAGAAGTGCCACTCTGCACATTCTGTGTGTGTGTTTTTGTGTGTGTGTGTTGGATTGTTTGCTTCTGCATCCCATCGGCTCGTAATAATTGCAGCTGCACGTTTACAATTTGTACGTGGTGTGTGTGGTTTTGGTTTGGTTTCGTTTCGTTTCGTTATTCGGGCTTGATAAAAATGAGCATCGGAAATGCGAATATAAATTTTGTCATATCTGATGTACAACTGTGTGACTGAATGTGTGTGCGTGTGTGTGTGTATGTGTGTCTGTGCCAGGATAAGCGTAATGGCTGGCATTATATTTGCAGGCAGAGCTGCCAGGAAGTCGGGTAGACAGCGGACGGCAGTCAGCAGACCAATCATCAGAAGTATGCAACGGGCAGTTGTCCCGGTAGAGGAAACGGAAATGACATGCAATAAAACACAAAGGCGCACGCATCGGAGCCATGCCAGCTCGATCGGTGGTTGGGTGGTGCGCTGCTGTCAACCATTGTGGATTATAAACACAAAATGGCATCTAAAAACAGAAATCTATCTGGGCAAATGCATCGCCAGAAACTTTTACAAAATTACAATTGCAAAAGTTGTACACTTAAAAGAGAAGAGACAGAAGAAAGAAAGGCATGGGAGAGAGAGAGAGATAGAAAATTGAGACACAAGCGAACCCGCAGCTGCTGGCCAGACAATAACCTCCTCTCCGCCCTAACACCCTGGCACCCTTGACCAGATATTTGAGTGCGCCTTTGTGTGCGTTAACGCCAAGTCATTTGGCTTATCAATGCCAGACGCAGACCATTTTGCGCTTATCGCTCGTACGCATCACACTTCGCATAGCCTTGTCGCATGCAGGTGGCCAAACCAGCAATCGATGCTCATTTGCCGTTTCCCCAAAATCTCATACCGATTTAATGCGACAAATTTACTTGCAGAGTGTAGTCTGGAATGTATTATTAAGCTGCCATTAGGCTAGGGCTCTAGGGTGACAAACAGGACTTGCTTGTTATGCATTGGTTGGTCAGGCCCATTGACATGTATGCAAACATTGCTCTAATGATGGTCAGCCAAGTGGCCACTAACTGCCTATTGACAGCAGCAAACAACCTCTACTGCTTCAATATCTCTACCTCTGTCTCCCATTTCAGCCACCTTTCCCTGCTGCTGCAGTCACTTGCCAACTGCTGCTTGCTTTATTGGCTAATTACGCCCTGCAGCAGCAATCGTTGCAGTTGCATGCCTGCATGTGATTGCTCGTTGCTGCTGTTGTCCCAGGGCCCATTCTCTGTCGCAGCGCTTGGGAGCCAGTTATTAGCATATGCTCTAAATTACGTTCATTTTTTTACATTCGATTTTAATTTCCATGAAGCAGCCTCTGGAACTCTTTTTTTTTATATACATACATTTACATGCATACATTTGCTCGACATGCGCCTAATTTATATTCATTATCTGATCCATAATTATAGATAACTCTCTATATCAAGAGTCGCAACATGCAACAGTCAGCTCAGAATCAGATTTCAGTACTCCAATTTTGTTGTTATTTCATGTTTGTCCTTGAACTTAAATGTTACTCAAACGATGACTGATTCACTGTCTCAATATTTGACTAGCGCATTTGGCAGCAGGTCGGGAAACATCCCCCAGTTGTAGCCTAAATCTTAATCTGGCTTAAGCTTACCTCAGTGCTGCGCGCTACCTTCAGTTCTTCTGTTGTTGGCACAAATAATTGCAAACAAGGTGCCGTAAAGAAAGTTTCAATGTGGCAACTTGCGGAAAGGGTGTGCAAATATTTGTGGCGCAAATCTTGAAAAATCAATTTCAAAAGAATTTTTAAATCAAAAGCAAGGAAGGGCAAAGCTTAATCGGCAAAGCAAACTGCTGTGAATCGATATGAGGCCTGTATAAAATTAAGACTACTGGAAAGGAAATTCCAGAGTTATAAAATATATAAACCTATTTATATATTTTAAGGACTATTGTATAAGTTAGTGACCAGAGAATCTTTGATGACTACATAAAATCATGCAAATCAATTTTTAATATTTCGATAGCTAATTAACTAAACTTTGATTGCTTACTAGATTAATATTGAGATGAAAGTCCAGGAGCTTGAGCACCATTACTCGATGTTGTATATATTCGTAGAAGTAAATTGAGATTAATTTCCAAACCTTTCCCCTTAGTTCTTTAATTGAAAATAATGTTTTCTTTGAACTCTTTATTCATATGGTTTCGTACAAATTAGGCCTTAATGTAGAATTATTGTAAGATTTTTGTTTTAGCCAAATTATATCGCATCGGTTTTCCTACTTAAACAAATGCTAGTCAATTAAAAGTATTGTTTGTAAATAGTTGCTGCATAAAACTTAGATTCAATAAATACAAATCTGTATATGTGTATGTGGTATGCGTATATTATTGTATGCTTAGTTATGTATATAGTTCTCTTGCATTATAAATAGTTATCATAGCTAATTTATGTATATATATATTGTATATTGTTATTTGTATAAAAAATATAAGCATATCAAGTAGTAATATAGTACTTCGTTTAGTTTAATTCACATAACTAGGGATGAACTATATATTTGGAACAGTATTGAGAAACCCAGTCGAGGTTTTCATATATTGTAATTGTTGCATTTTGTAATTACCAATTCCTTAACTCGACGCCTTAAATCTCAAGTTGAACTTTATTGCTTTGTAAAAGTGCGGGATATGAGTTTTGCTCTCAGCTCTGCATTAGTATGAGTATGTAATATATGTGGAAAATTGATGACCACCAGGTGGCTGCTGCTTCGTTAGCATTTATCGCTGGCGGCGCTTCATTTATTTACAACCCAATGCGCAATCAGCACGTAATTAAAATGCCCGCCGGCTTACAGCATCACGAAATGATGCAGTTTTTGTCCTTGTCGTTGGACATCTCAGAGGGCTTCCTTTTGCGATCGTAGGCCAGCGCATCATTGGGCACATAGCTAACGCGTACGCCACCATAGTGTCGCCGCTGGGGCAGTTGATACATCATCATATAATCCTCGGAGCTGGATGAGCTCGATGAGCATGTGGAGCACACATCCGATTCCTCAGATTCATCGCGCACACGCTCCCGATCCCGATCTCGCTCCCTTTCCCGTTCCCGTTCCCTTTCACGTCTGGGTGACTTGTGAGGCGCCTCAGCTGGCGTAGTTGCCTGAAGCAGCGAGGGTGTTCCCTGGTAGGAGGAGGACAACGGCTGGGCGGGTGCATACGTGTCCGCTCTGGTTGTGGAATGCGATCGATGACCGCTTCCACTGCGATGATGATGACCCGACGATGACTTGCGACGACGACGTCTACGCGAGTTATGCCCATGCCCATGACGATTGCCATCCCGTTCTCGTTCTCGATCCCGATCCCTGTCCCTATCTCTATCACGGTCTCTATCTCTTTCCCTCTCGCCACCGCTGGTGCCGGCTCCGTTGCCGGAGTAGCTGCGTGATCGCGGCAACGTATCAGGAATGCCCTCGAAGCGGACGCCCTTCTTCTTGCTGGGCTCACCGCTCATCGGCGAGGAGGAGCTGGCGCCGCTGAGTATAGAAACGGGATGTGTGGCCGGCTGCGTTGCCGAATGCGTGGACAACGGCGTATTCAAAGAGCAATCGCCAGCTGAATGCGTCGGCGAACCCATCAGCTCCGGCGGCAGTGCCGTCGAAGCAACACTCAGATTGGGTGTGGGCAGCTCGGGCAGCTCTCCGACGGCTGTCGTCAGTGGTGGCGGCGGCAACGGTGGATGCATAATGTCCGCATACTCGTGTTGCGATGCGTGGAACTGCTGCACAGAGGCGTGCATTGGCGGAGCCGGCAGTTGTTGGGCAAAGTGTGGGAGATGCTGGGCGTTGGCCAGGCCCAGTTCTGGCATGCTGGAGGTAATGGAGTTCTCCAGCTTGGAGACCTGCTGCAGCTGCCGCTGCAACTGATAGCTGTGGGTGGCACCCAGCGGGGGCTTGGCCGGCCACGCTGCATCCAAATTGGTGGCCATCTCATTAAAATTGTAGACGCCATCGCGCTGCAGCTCCATGGGCTTGGGCATCAGATGCGGCTGGAATTCACCGGGTGAATTCAAGGGTGACATATTCTGTGAACTGGAGAAGTCGGTAAAGTCACCGCCGCCGCTGGCACTAGCAACATTGTGGCCACTCCTCTCCAGATCCTTGACAACGCCCGCATCCGAGTCGGAGGTGGAAGCAACGCCTGCTGCGGCCAGTTGCTGACTCTGCAGTTGGTACATCGCCTGATTGAAGCTGGCCTGATGTTGTTGCTGCTGCTGCGGTGACATGGGCGGCGAGCTGGATGCGTGGCTGCTCGGGATTCGCGCCTGCTGCTGCGTTCGCACTCGCTGCGCCGGCGGCGTGGGCGTCGTGTACATGCCCGTGCCGGAGCTATCCGACGGCGTTGGTGGCTCACCTTTGCTGCAGGCTATCGAACAATAGATGGCGCCACGGCGCGGCAAAAAAGCGCGACCCAGCAATGAACAGCGACATGTGTTGCATGAGAAACACTCATCGGTGGCATGCCAATGCTGCCCATCGTGGCTCATCTGGCCCTGATCGACGCCAATCGCTTCGCCGCAATAGTCGCAATACTCGGCAAACATGGCATCAAAGCACAGCAGACAATAGGGTTTGCCCTCGCGCATTATGTAACGCTGACCTCCGAGCTGTTTGTCGCACTCGTGGCAGGCAAAGTGATTCATGTGCCAGGCACGTCCTTCCGCCTCCGTGCACTCATCCGCCAGGATTATCTATGTAGTTTTTTTCAAGTGTAAGAAAGTTACAGTAAACTTTGTCAAAGGCAAAGAGCGTGAATAGGGTTAAGGAAATTACCTCATCGCAAGCGGAGCAGCGTGGCTTGAGTGTCTCGGCATGATGGCGCCCACAATACATGCGTCCATCGCGATGGAAGTAGATGAGATCCACGAGCAGCTCGCGGCAGATGCAGCACGTAAAACACCCCGGATGCCAGCTGGCATTGGGACCCAAGCGTGTGGCGAAGACGGCAATGTCGCCAGTGGATATCAGCTCATCGCACTGAGAAAAAAGTGTATTTCCAGATTTGGTAATTTGGTATATGAAGTCGGGGTAGGGGACTCTATATGTACTTACACCATCGCAGGGACGTGCGCTCATCAGCTGTCGGACATTGCCGCGACCGAGTGCATCACGTTTGCGCTGTGTGGAAAACAGACGCAGCTCCTTGCGTTCCTCATCCGTCAGTGAGTGACAGTAACGAACCTGAAATGACAGAAGAAGAACCGTTTGTTATGAAACACCCATGGAGACAGAGAGACAGACAGTGAAAGAGAGAGAGAGAGAGAGAGAGAGACAGGCAAATCATATGTTCAAGTTGATGGTGGGCAGGTAAACTACTGCTGCTTCTGCTGCCTCGAGTGATCTTTCCAAGAAGTAAACGCTGGGGCAGATTGTTTGTCTGCAACAACAGCTAAAGCTTCAGCTCGAGTGGCCAGTCAGTGGGTTGGGCAGACAACCGCAGACAGCGAACGGTAGCTATGGGCAGCCATCCAATGCTCCCCATCAACTGCTACTTCTGCTGGGATATCTTCTAGTTTAACTGCTGCTCCTCCTTCTCCACCTACCCAAGTTGGTCGCTTGCGGTCAGCATCTCTCGTTTGTGTTGTATGCAAATTTTTTGGGCTGCCTCTTTTTTGTTGGCCCCAGCTCACAATTTGATTTGACTTTCGGCATGGAACTTGGGCATTTCGCAAACAGCAACAGACACACGCACTCACAACCACTACTAAAGTCTGGCCAGCTCTCTGATACTGGTCGTTAACATGGCAACCCTCAGTTAGTGGCGGTGGTTCAGAGTGGTAAATGCTAAAATGCTCAAATGGTAACTGATATCTCTAACCGCTCAGCTGTGGGAATCCGCTCAACGTTGTTTTGATACCCTATTGGGAGGGTACTCTAATTGTGACATTGAATGCGTAATAAATTGAGAAAGACATGTATACCCCAAAAATTGATAGTTCTGTGAGAAATTTGATCTTAACTTAACGGTCAGTTTAAATATATTTTAGAGAACTTAATACAGGTGCCTATTTTTGTAAAGCTTGATCAGTTTTCTGCCAGTGAAATGATTGGTCAAAAGCGCAGCTATTGGCTTTAAAGCTTTCTGTTATGAATGACATTTAACTTAAATTGGAAAATATAAGTAATTTTTTATTGTATTTCCTCACCAACCATGTAAAAAATGCTTGGCACTCTTCAACAAAATTTGTTTGGAAGACTATTTGATCTTCGGCAATGCTAAGTTCGTTTTCCAAGTTTTTATATTTGATTGCTTTTTTTTTGCAGTTTTCATCGTAGCCTTGTGGTTTTTGTCAGGGTGCCAGTTCAGTTAGTTGCACTTGTTTCCTTGATTAATTAAAAGGCTCAGGAATAACAATAACAACAACAAGAACAACCAGGGGCATGGAATGTGTGGGAAAATCGCTGGCATTGACTTTGATATGCCGTTGCCGTAATTCGAGTTGTCGTTGCGAGGACACGAGGCCATTCAATCACGATAAAATGCGCACACATTTGAATAAATACCACGAAATTGACAGTGCAGGGCCAGTGTCACCCCAGGGACTGCAGCAGCACAGTGGATAGATACACACAGATATATACAGTGGGATACACTGGGACACACTCACCTCGTTATCATGCGGCGGCAGTTGATGCAGCAATTGTCGCACACGATACTGCTCTCCGGGACTGTTGACGTATGGCACTTTGTCGTCGGGTATTTGCGAAAAGTACAAGCGAACCTGCAAAAAACCAAAAATAACAAGTAAGTCAAAAAACAAAAAACGAAAAACGAAAGAAAATGTTTGAGATTTGAGTAGGATGAGTACTGGAGTGGAATGCAGCTGGAGCAGAGAGTAAGCCTAAGCTCAACTAAATGCAAAAAGGGTTAAGGCAAATCTCCTTCACTCAATCATCATCATCATCATCAGCAACAACAAGAACGACATGATCACGTACGGGGCAGCAGCAGCACAGTTGGGCTGTCAAATGCTGCGACTGACTGCACAGCAGGTTGCTGCCTAAAGATTTTTGATTTTATTACGTTGATTTGGCATTTTGGCCAGGTTGAAAGGTGCGCAACGTGCTGCCTCGGTCAACTTCTAAGCCGCTCAGCTACTCAGTTTATTGGCCACGTTTTTACCAGCGTGTTTTTTTTTCAAGTGCGCCGATTGGCGTAAAATTTAAGCATGCGATCTGCCAACAAATGACCAATAGCCCAACAACCGGCTCTCAGTCGAAGACGACAGCAGCCAACTGGCAAGCGTCTGCTGGTCTGACTGTACCGACTGGACTGACTGGACGGACTGGACTAGACTGACTGACTGCCTGACTGACACATGGCTTATGCTGCGTCAACGTAAATGGCTGTAAATAAATTTTCAATTCTGTTTGTAGCGTTTGCCAAAAATACAATATGGCAATGGCAATGGCAATGGCAATGATAGCACGACACAAAAAAGCAAAGCAAGACTGCTTTAGTTGACAGTGCCTGAATGAAAGTATACCCTGTTTATAGGATTAGAGTAACCTATTATGTGTTCGTATTTTAAACAGTGCTGACGCCAAATCTATATTGCTTATGTATTTGTTAACTTCTTTCTCTTTGGCACACAAGTTGCTTTACTTGAATATGCCCCTTTTGAGGCACGTCAAAGCCTACAGGGTATTTCAACGGCTGACTGCGAGACATGTGATAGGCAGCGGTGTCAGTTTGAGCGGGATTAACGCGATCCAATGCATTTTGGACTGAGGCTGAGGCTGCAAGTCAAAGAGTCGCTGTCGCCTCATGGGCTTGGCCCCGACCTCTAACTGATGTTAGTGCAGGCTAAATAAAAAAATGCCCTAAAAAATGTTAGTAGCGCACTTCTGGGCGCCGCAGCCGCTGGAAAAGATTGCGCAAGATTTATTTGGCATTGTCGCATATTTTACGCAAATAATTTATGTGGCGTTAACGCTAGCCAAAAAAATAATTGAAAAAATCGTTTGAAATGTTACCAGTGTGTGGTTGTATTCTTTTTTTTTTGTGCAATACGCGCATTGGATTGGCCATAAAAGTCGCATTTGAGAAATGGCTAACAAGTATAGGAAAAACAGCTGCAACCAATGTGGGCAGAAGTTGTGCAGAGTTACTTTTATTAACGCAATCTAATTTCGAATATATATGCAGACAACTAGCGCTGTACAGAATGGCCCACACGCTAAGCAGACTTCAGATACCCAAGACTCAATCGCGGAGTGCAGCCAGAAGCGCCGCGAGGCGTGCATCTGCTATCAGTTTAACACTGAGAAGAAACTGGTTGATTTATGGACTGACATAGCAGCACCTCTTAGCCTTGGCCGTTTGCGATTTAGTGACAAAATCACGCACAATAAGTCAAGTTGGGCACAATGCCAACAGCTTATCGCAGAGCACAAATCACGAATCACAAATCTGAAATATCCCAAGAGGCTTGGCGACATCGACTCACCTGATCCGGTCGCAGGCCAGGCGGCACCCAAGTGTACTCCTCAAGCGCACAGCCGCTGTCGTCGTCTGAATGCGACTGTCGCTGAATATCCATGTGAGGACCGGCGAGAAAGGGTGCATGTGCCGCTACCGTCGAGCAGTTGACCGACGGATGATGCAGCAGCGAAGGGGGCGACGGTGTCGAAAGCGCCGGCGACAGCTGATGATGCTGCTGATGCGCATGTAGATGTTGCTGTGTTGAATTTGTGTACTTTGCATTCGAGGAACAGCCCGATGCGGCGGGTGAATACTGTGCGGCAGCAGCTTGTCCGGGCGGCAGCATCGGCAGCTGTTGATGATGCGGCGGCAAGTATTGCTGATGACGTTGCAGCGGCAGCGGCGATGTCGGCAACATGCCCGCATTCTGTGCCGCATACAAAGCGCTTGCCGAGGAGCTACTGGGCAGTCCGAGGTTGCCCAGCGCCTGTGGCGGCAGGGTGCCTTGACTCGGCGAGAAGTGGCGCGGCAGCGTAGGTATCTTCTGCAGATAGGAGATCTGCGTCAGCGGCGTGCGACTTATGGGCCTGCAACATAAAGAGAGAGGGGAGAGATAGTGAGTGTGAGAATCAGTATGGCCTTTAGTTATTGGAATTTTTGTGGCGTGGCAAATTTAAACTCAATTAACATTTTTGCGGCTATTACATGGCGGGTTAAAGGTTTCGACGTGGTCTGGGAAATTGTGCTGTTGTAACAAAATGATTTAAACCTTTCGTGGACATGCCCAAATCATATTTTCAATGCATTATAAAACCACATGCAATATGATTATGCTTTTATTCCTTTGTAAATCATTGGTTGTATGTGGTCTTGCACTTGATATATGTACATGTCTATTTATTTTACATACATTCGTATTTACTCTATTTTTTCATTTTAAACAAGCTGTCAATTTTAGTTTGTTTTTTATGCGACGCCATAAAAAAAGGATTGTACATCAAAATGAAAATACAAGTACGCTTCACAGCGTTTACACAAATAAATCGACAGCTCATGTTGTCGTTGTTGTCTGATATATATACATATATATATATGTATGTGTGTATATATACATGTTTGAATGTTTTTGCTGTTGTCTGCTTTCCGGGCCCTTGGGCTGTCGCTGTTTGTCATTTTGTTGTACGCCTGACATTGTTATCCTAGCAGCGTCCCGAATGCACTGCAAACAGCACTGGCGGACTTTTGACTGTTTATCTGTGTGAATGAATTTGTGTATGTATGTGTTGGTATTGCTATTATGCTGGTATTGAGGAGCTATCCAAAGCTGTAAAGTTCTCTGTACATATGTAAAACGTTCGGCTTAATTTTAAACATTTTGTAGAGTTCACATGCAATATAATTAATATTTATTGCAGTATATTACTAAAAATTAACTGATGAGAAATTTAAAAAGTTCAGCCAAAATACTGGAATCAATTAAAAGTACGTTACAATCGGACACAAGTGATCTTGTTTGATTTTTAAATTAATTTTTTAATTAAAATATTATTTTCGAGGCACAATATTCAAACAAAACGAATTGCTTTCAATTGCTGCTTGATTATTAATAAGCGTAGAGTAAAACAATATTAAAAATATTATTGTATTTAATAATAAGTGTTGATTGAATTGAAAAATTGTTTTAAAACATTTGCAAGTATTTGACCCAGCACAACAATAAATCAGCAAAACAACTCTCTGTGTTAGTTAATAATATCGAATATCTTCAAGGATGACAAATATAGAATAGAAAAACAGAATTTATGTACTAAAATACTAAAGCGACCGCAGATTTCAATTGTAGGGGATTTGAGGCTCGCCTTATATCAACCGCAGCACGCACCATTTCATGCCAGTTGTTTTTGCAGTTGTTGTAGCTATCAAAGGATAACTGTGCATTGTCTGCGCATATGTAACTGTAGCTGCGACTCCGTTGGCCGGAGTTGGATGGGGCTGATGGGCTGATGGGCGTAACCGGCTCTGTGGTACTGCTTGGATATATTCATGCATCGTACGTATGTGAGTGTATTTGTGAGTGTCTCTGTGTGCTCATGCGGGCGTTTTATCAAAACAATGTGGCCGCCCTTTTGTTGTTTTTGTTTTTTTTTTGTTTTTTTGTTTTGATGTCCGTGATGATTTAACCAGGCAAATTCATTCTTTTTGTTTCCGCATCCGCTTTAGCGATTGCAATTCCATTTCTAGTTCGCTGACTTCAGCGCAGTTGCTGATGTGTCAATATTGTCCGAGGTGGTGGCATAATGGTGGTGCGAGTGGTGCGAGCGGTTGCTGCGGTTTGCCCCGTAAATTAATTGCGCAGATTTTTCGACTTTGTCCGCCAGTAAACCAAGCTAAAATGTAGTTTCAGCCATTGTTTTATGGAGCGTCGACATTTGCATTTTAAAGCGCAAAACGCTGTCCCCAATGGAGGAATGGAAGAATGCGTGACGTCGAGTTGCGGGCGTGGGATTTACCAAAAAGGGTATCCAATGCACGTGCAGTCGACGTTGCCATTGCCGTTGCATTCACAGCTGGAGACAGATGCCAACGGCGGGTAGCTAAAAGTGTTGGCTGCTGTCAAATCAGCCGCATTCAAACTCAAATTACAAGCCAAACAAACGGCTGGCAGGAGACTGCAGACGGCAACTGGGGACCGTATCGTACCGACCGTACTGGACCGAACGCAAATGGCTGTAGTGCTGTACACAAATGAATAGCGAACCAAATGGCACATTGCACATTGCACAAAAACTGTGCCTAAACACAAAATTTGTTGCAGCGCATTTGGAAAAAATGATAGGAGACTGCAGCTGGAGCACAGAGCTGCAGTTGAAGTCTTTTGAATTTATTGTGCGGTCAGTTGGTTGGGTTGTATGCCTGTTGGCGACCTGCATTTCTTTTCATTCGCGCGGCATTTCAGCATTTGAGCAATTTGCAAATTTATTGTTGACTGCAGCGAATTGCGTAAAATTGGCCAGCAATTGTTGGCCAAGTTTCAATTTGTAGTGCCAGCGACTAGGTTTATTAAGCCATTAAGGCTAGCAGTCACAGGCTTCGAAAATGGAAAGTGGCAGACGATAGCAGAACTGGTCAAACGCACAGCAAACACGCACAAATTTGCGTATGTGGCGCAGCAATGTTGCCCAGCAACATGTTGCTAAGCTGATTGTTGCCATAAAAAAGCGACTTTTATTGTGGAAATACCCTTGGGTTATGAGTGTGTGTAAAATAAATGCGGGCACTTTGGCCTGCGGGCAGCTGTTGCCAATATTTGTATTTGCATTGCCAAAGCATAAAATGACGAGGAGGAAGAAGCAACATTTACAGGAGCAGCAGTGGAAAAGAAGGGTTCATGCTGAGGCTCACTTTGGCAGTCATTGAACCAAAAAATAAGAAATTTAAAAACAAGAAATAACTGAGATCCTAGGAGCGACGAAGATTACATACACTTTCAGACCGATGTCCTACTGTCAGCAGCAAAAATACGAATACATGCCAATTTTAATCAGGATAACTTTACAAATGAGGGATTCACTCGTAAATGGTAGTGCTGATCAATAATATGTACACTTTTTACGAAGTGTTTTCTTCCAATGAGTTACACACTTCACATTCAAATAGTATTACCCATGGCAAGGGTACAAAAATGAATAACAAAGCGAAAACTGGTTTCAACCACTTGGTTTGCCACTTCTCTCTAGGCTCATGCTTTCGCGCCCTAAAACTAGTTCAAAGCGTTGCCATTGATAAACCGCGACTTTGTTTCTTGTTCCTCTTCCTCTTCTTGTGCTTCTTGCAGCTGCACGACCGTGTCAAGTGGCGGCTTCATCAGCTCAAGCACTCACCATCTCTACATTATACTTATAGCTTTCAGGCCGAGGAGATCGCCCATTGTACTATATTTAGCAGGGCCGCTTATCTGGTGACTGGCATCTAAATGAATGATCATTATATACGCCATAGCAAATGCGTTGACAAATTGCAAAGTCGCGTCTCAGCCGAAAGATCTGAGCCATGGCCAACAGCAACAAGAGCAACAATTGGCTGTCACTTTGTGCGGTTAGCTGGGCCAACATATTTGGGTTAATGCCCGAAGGCAGGCGAAAGTTTCCACTAATAGTTTTCCATAGCATTTGGTTCAATTCTAACCAACCAACCCTCCCTCTCTCTCTCCTCCAGCAAATTAAGCGACCGACCAACCGTTGAACCGACAGGTTGTCCCTTAAATGCCGATATTCGTTGCTGGAATTTTACCATTGAGACTTGTTTAGGAAGTTTTACGATGACTCCGACAAATCAACAAAAACAACTACAATAATTATTGTCCAGGCTTATTCGAGACTCCTGCGACCAGCAGCGGCTGCAGCGTTTTATTGTTTTTCAGGCTACACATTTAGCAGGCAATAGTCGGCAGCAAAATATCCTGTACTTTGCTTAAGAAAAATCAATACTATTTTAACATAAATATACATATAAACACACTGTTTGATGCATGCTTTTAAATAGCTTAAGGCGACTTTTATTGTGAAAGTCTTATTAAAAAGTCTTTAGTACCAATTAACTCTTTTTTCCAACAAAACGTGCAAAATGTTTTAATGGTCTTCCATTTAATGTAATAAGGCCATATGTACTAAATTAAATTGTCCATGGTATGTTAGCAACACCAATAAGAAAAAGTTAAATAAAATCCTGCAAGTAGTAGTAGCTGCTCAAGGCTTTATTAAAACCCATGCAGCAAACTCACAACTAGTGCGATTGTCATAAACGATTTTTGAATTGCCAATAAAAGTAGCCGTAAACTTTATGGCAAACATGGAGGAACACACGTAACAGCGTCTAAGCCCCGGCGGGACTCCTACTGCTCCTTCTCCTGTCTCTCCTTCCCAGCTGCCCCATTGTGTCTAGCACCAGCTCCAAGCTGAAGCCCCCAGCTCTTTGCTTCAGTCGCTGTCTGCCGCTGTCAACATGACATTTGGCGTGTTGACATTTTTATTGACTTTGGCAGTGACTCGTACTCTGCTTGTGGCTGGCAAACATTCTACGTTGCTGTTGGTGTTGTTGTTGTTGTTCTTTTCTTCTTGTTTTTTATTTTTGCAGCTAAAAGTTGATTAAGAATGTCGGCTGCAACAGCAGAGCCCATGCTGGGACCCATTCTCCGACTGCGTGTGGCCAGGCACTGCATTTATTGCGCATACGCCAAGTGTCACTAATTGCAAACACACACACATGTATACACACACATTTTGAAATCAATTAAATGACTAACTGTAAATGAAAGCCATCTGTTAATATGTATGCTCAATTTAGAAAGTCGCGCATTAGCAAAATAATTGCATAATTTCTGCACATCACAACATGAATTTTCACACCAAATCCGCTAAGCAAGACGAAGGGGAGGAGCCGCCGCTTGGTAGAACAGAAGGAGGAGGTGGAGGCGTCGGAGCAGCTGGACTTTCAAGTCAAAAGCCAGCGAGAACAAATTGTTTGCTTATCTTTTGGTAACAAAGCTGATGACCAATTAATGTTGTTGCTGCTCTTTTTGTTATTGTTG